TTCTTCTTCTTCTTCTTCTTCCTCTTCTTCTTCTCCTCTCCTCTTCTCCTCCTACTCCTCCGAAGTTCTTCTTCTTCTTCTTCTTCTTCTTCTTCTTCTTCTTCTTCTTTATCAGAGTAGAGATAGAGGTAACTGCAGACATTGTTTGGACACGGCCTTCTGCCTTATTGGACACGACATTCAGATCGGACTTACACTCTACATTGGGATTGAACTGTGTGCGACATTCGGAGATCAGACTTGGGTTGGACTTGGCTACCTCTATGTCCCTCCCCCTTCTCTCTCGCATGTCTATGGATCTCTCCCCATGTGTGTGAGCGGAAGGGCAATCTTTCTGGTGTCTTGCCCTTCCGAAGTTTCTCCCTTTCATGTTGTTGTCCACGTGTCCTTTGATACTAGATCTTCCGCTGCGCTGCTTCCCAGCCTATGATGATGATGATACAAATGTGTTGTTATTGATTTCCCGTTSTTTCACTCTTTGCGTCGCGCACATTGACACCTTGTGAATGTTGCACCTATGCTGCTGGTTGTTGCCACTTTCGTCATTGCTAGATCCTAGGCTTTCAGTGCATTTCACTTTCTGATATGCTACAGTCTACCTCCTCTATGATATTGAGCGGTAGTATCTCCTGGTCATCAAGCCATTTAGCCCACTCTGTGTCTAATGTACCAAGTCACTCCTTGGTTGTTGGGATTTGTTCCAGGTACCCGTTGAAGGCTGTGAAAGTGATGCATACAGTGGCTTTGCAGACAGAGGCAACACTCGCGGAATCTTCCCAGTCAAGTCAGGGGCCTTTTGTGAGGGTACTTCCTACAGCCACCTTTTCCTCTCCCCACAAGTTCTCTTTTCTGTTAACCTTATGTAGTTGTATGGTATATCTATTTGGCGGCTTGCAGACTGGCACTGTCATGTTCTGAAGCGTGGGCTACTACAGCCTACAGGCTTATCATTGTGCATATATACACATCTCTGGGATCTATGTGTTTAAGCTCAGCCAGGTGGTTGGACTGAAATTCATACATGGAAGACTGGTCAGGAAAGAGTCCACAATGGTGCAAGGTGTCGTGCTTCATTGCGGCATGCCAGGGCGGACTTTCTCCACTTATTGTGGCTGTTGCTGATGCATAGTGAATGCTCCTTACACTGCAGCTGGTTTAGTTATAAAATTATCAGCCAACGGCTCAGAAGTTCCCTGAGCTTCCTCCTCTGTCAGTGCTGCGCCTTCGTTGTTTACTACTTCGCTCATAGCTTCAGTTGCAGGCGCACCGGTGGGGAAAGCCAGATGAGGTAAGAACATCGCTTGGTCGGACCGAACAAATTGCTGAGCAATTTTTATAAGCTTGAACATTCACAGGTCTGCAGCTTACATTGACAATGTTGCTAAACAGGCCTCTCCTGTCCTTGTGCGGAGAACTGTGCCATACAAAGGTACAAGACTAAGCTCTATAGGTTGGTGAACACATCAGCACTGGTCCCTGGTTGGCCCTGGGACTCAGCCTCCCGGTTGGCCTGGCTGGTGGGCCAGCCCGGTAGGCTCCCGGTCGCCCCCAGTGCATTTTTTTTTTTGGGGGGGGGGGGGGGGGGAGTGGAGAGGGCCAGGAAAGTTGCCTGGCACATTCCTGTGACGTCGCAGAGGCCGCTGCTAGGGCGGGGGAAAAGAAATGGGGCCGGCAGGCCCCACGTTTTGAAATGATGCTGGCTGCCAATCTGAGCACAAGACCGGCGGCACATTTTGAAATCATGCTGGCTTCTTCTCAAAGAGGTAGGTGGGAGTTCTTTCAAACTTCCACGTGGTGTTTGAAACCCTCGTGACCCCGCTTCCTCCTCACACCTCACAGAGCACTTTGAGCCTTCGCATTTGCAGCATTGACTGTGCAGTGGCCCGTTGAGAGAGTCCCTGTGCCATTCCCTGCAGAGAGAGCCCCATCGCCTGCACCTGCACCTGCACCATCACCTGTAGAGTAAGCCAACACAAGAGAGGGGGGGGGGATGGGGGGGGGGAAGAGAGAGAGCGAGAGATCTTGTCTTGTTCTTCCTCTCTTGATTCTTCCTTGTCTGCTTCCTCTCTTCCTCTTCCCCTCCTCCCTCCTCCTATTCTCCTCCTCCTCCTCCGTCCTTTCTTGTTGCTGCAGTCAGAAACGCCGCTGTTGGTTTTCTTGCTTCTTGAAGTCTGAATTGCCCGTTGCTGTCCTCCCAGCTTCTTCTTATTCTTCTTCTCCTTCTTCTTCTTCTTCGCTCTCCTCCTCCTCCTTCATCTTCCTCCTCCTCTTCTTGCTCTTTCTCCTCCTCTTCTTCTTCTTCCTCCTCCTCCTCTTCCTCCACTTCCTCCTCTTCCTCCACTCCCTCCTCTTTCTCCACTTCCTCCTCCTCCTCCTCCTCTTTGTCTTCTTCACCATCTCTTCTCCATCCTGTCCTGTTATTATTTTCCTTCTTCTTCCAAGTTAGAATCACCGTTGTTGTTTTTTTTCCCCCTTGTCGAAGTTTGAATGGCCCATTACCATTCTCCCTTCTTCTTCTTCTTCCTCTCCTCTTTCTTCTTCTCTTCCTCTTCCTGTTCCTCTTCCTCCTTATTCTCCCCCTTCTTCTTCTCCTCCTCCTCCTCCTCCTCCTTCCTCCTTGTCCTCCCCTTCTCCCTCTTCCTACTCTTCCTCCTCGTCCTCCCCTTCTCCCTGTTCCTCCTCTTCCTCCTCTTTCTCCTCTTCCTCTGCTTCTACCTCCACCTCCACCTCCACCTCCACCTCCACCTCCACCTCCACCTCCACATGTCCTTCCTCCTCCCTCTTCCTCCTCTTCCCTCTTCCTCCTCTTCCTCCTCTTCCTCCTCTTCCCCTCTTCCTCCTCTTCCTCCCCTTCTCCACCTCCACCTCCACCTCCACCTTCTTCTTCTTCTTCTTCTTCTTCTTCTTCTTCTTCTTCTTCTTCTTCTTCTTCTTCTTCCCTTTCCTTCTTCCCTTTCCTTCTTCCCTTTCCTTCTCCCTCCTCTCTTCCTTCTTCTTCCTTCTTCTCCCTTTCCTTCTCCCTTTCCTTCTCCCCTCTTCTCCCTCTTCTTCTTCCTCCTCCTTCCCTCCTCTCTTCCTTCCTTCTCCTTCTTCTCCTCCTTCTTCTTCCTTCTTCCGTCTTCTTCTTGGCAGTGGCTGGTTAGCGCTTCTTCTTCTTCCTTCTTCCTTCTTCCTTCTTCCTTCTTCCTTCTTCCTTCTTCCTTCTCCCTTTCCTTCTCCCTTTCCTTCTCCCTCTTCTTCTCCCTCTTCTTCTCCCTCTTCTTCTCCCTCTTCTTCTCCCTCTTCTTCTCCCTCTTTTTCTCCCTCTTCTTCTCCCTCTTCTTCTTCCTCCTTCCGTCTTCTCTTCCTTCTTCTCCTTCCTCTTCCTTCTTCTTCTTCCTTCTTCTTCTTCCTTCTTCCTTCTTCTTCTTGGCAGTGGCTGGTTAGTGCTTCTTCTTCCTTCTTCCTTATTCCTTCTTCTTCCTTCTTCTTCCCTCTTCTTCCTTCTTCCTTCCTTCTCCCTCTCCTTCTCCCTTTCCTTCTCCCTTTCCTTCTCCCTTTCCTTCTCCCTTTCCTTCTCCCCCTTCTCCCTTTCTTTCTCCCTCTTCTTCTTCCCTCTTCTTCTTCCCTCTTTCTTCCTCCTTCCTTCTTCCTTCTTCCTTCCTTCTTCCTTCTTCCTTCCTTCTTCCTTCTTCCTTCTTCCTTCTTCCTTCTTCTTCCTCCTACTCCCTTTCCTTCTCCCTTTCCTTCTCCCTCTTCTTCTCCCTCTTCTTCTCCCTCTTCTTCTCCCTCTTCTTCTCCCTCTTCTTCTTCCTCCTTCCCTCTTCTCTTCCTTCTTCTCCTTCCTTCTTCTTCCTTCTTCCTTCTTCCTCTTCCTTCTTCTTTCTTCTTCTTGGCAGTGGCTGGTTAGTGCATGCTGGGCCTATGATTTTGGGGGATTATAGGCCGACAGCAATTGAGCGGATCTAACATAAGCTTTCTACAGGCAGCATACAGAAATGGTGGCGAGGACTTAAACTGCCAGTACTTCAAAGGCCTTAGGGTAGGTAGATGCATGATACAGACTGGATGCTGGTCTGTCTCAGAGAGAACATGCTCTGCTATTGTCCTCCGTACTGCTCCCAAGTTGGTTCGAAGAGCTGCAGGCACAGTTCGTGAGGAATTGGCCATGGGTACTGGTGATTTTAAAAGCCACGGTAGGTGTGTAAAGATTGTCTAACAAGCCATGAGTGGGCCTGTTTAGCATGAAAGATCGAGGCTGAGAGAAGAGATAATTGCAAAGTTCTTTTGCGATTGATTGATGGACGGATCATTAGACTGGATAACTAGAAAATCTGGGGTGGCATCTACATGCGATTCTCAGAGTCACTGGGGTTTTCTCTAATGCGAGAAAACTTTCGGGTGTAGACTGGGTTATTGCAAATTGTGGAAGTGATGAAGTGGATTTCCGGTTGCAGGCTTTGAACTCCCCCTACCTTCACCAACGTGGCCTAAGCGGTTCAAGGGTGAAAATGGCCGAAGAACGCACATTGGTTGGCCCTTCGGCCCTCTTCTAAGTGGCCAAAGTGGTCAAAGAGCAACTTGGTGAAAGAACAAAGTGGCCAAATGGCAAAAGGACAACTGTTTCTGGCCAAGGGAAAATGCACCCCTTAGTGAAGTCAACTGAATTCTTGAAAAGAAATAAATCGTACTAAACTGAGGGTCACTTTTGCAAAAGAACCAAGTTGCCAGAGGGCAGAAGAAATGACGGCTTCCCGATGCCAAAAGGGTGGGAAACAACTGTTTCTGCCCAAGGGAAAATGCAATGATAAGTGAATAGGTAGGTTTTTCCAGTCATTTCTTTCGCTGGAGAATACCCTGCAACACGGTGACAACCTGATTGGAAAGATGCACTGAGGGTTTGTGTAGCCAATGGAACAATTTAACAACACATGAAGCCCAGAACCAGGCTCTTGTGTCCACTCGTAGCGCAGGTAGCAAATCTGGCCAGCCATGTTATTTGTTTCTACTCCTGATTCTACTCAGTTTGGAATGTTGGGTGTTATACAGCAAGACAGCGGCCAAGCCCACCGTCTTGGCCCAGTGGAGTTGCTGATTAAGCAGCTGCCGAGTAAGAGAATGGCGGATTTAAACTACGAGAGGGAGCTGTATGCTGACAGAATGGAGAAGGTATGGCGACATTACTTCTTGTCTGGGATGACTGTTGACATGCGTGACATATCACCATCATCATTATCATTCTAGGTGTCGTAGTCCTGCATTGCATTGCAATGATTCCAAATTATAGTCAATACCAGACTGATAACCTTTACTTTGGATCAAAGCACAGAACTGCACCAGTAACCTTTCCTTTGGTGAAAGGACAGAACTGCCACTGCAAATTTGCAAACATACCACTGTACCTGTCCAGTGGTAATTGTCCTTGCGCAGGGGCCATGCTAATCTTCTCTGTATCGGTCCAATTTTAACGGATGTCCCGAAGGACAGTCCAGTGGTAATTGTAGTTGCTGGTCCCACTTCAAATTTCCGCGAACCTATTATAGGCTCTAATCTGAAAACTTAATTGCTCACCCATCTCCCGACGCCCTGATTGCTCGCCCTGATGTTCACTCAACGTTGTTCATCGGTCCCCAGGTCGAAGGGGCAGGTCTGCCAGTCAGTGTAGAGGAGGGGTATGTGGCAGACACTGAAAAATTTCCGTTCTCGCTATTTAGTTGGACACGGCTTGGAAAACTTCAAGAGCTCCTGGACCCAAGTGTTCTAACCTAAGAAAGCTAGGTAAGGATATGGCATTCCGGGCTGAGTGCTACCCAGAGGGATCATTTTGATTTTGTGTCACGCAGGACTGCTCCCCTTGTTCAGTGGTCTAAAATACAACATAGGTGTCTGTAAAACTTACGATACTTCTGCTCTCTCTCTCTCTCTCTCTCTCTCTCACACATACACACACACACACACACACACACACACACACACACACACACACACACACACACACACAGACAGTTGGATCTGTGGTCTGTATTGCCCTCCACCATCTGCATTGCCAAGATCGCTCGCAGATGTATCGGTATTCTATAACCAGCATGCACCCAAACCAAGACTGCCAAACCTGTCTGTTCTTACCAGGGCAGGCTAGGACCGGGCAGCTTCTGCCCGCTGGTCGACAAGCGGCTCGGCTTCTTGTAATTTGCTTTGCCATAGATTCTCCCAACCCATGGCCATATCTCGCAATGGGGTGACCTATTCAATTTTGTACGGGGCTTGACCCTCAGCCCGGCACTGTGCCCAGCTTATCGCCAGCCCGGTCAGGTACAGCTGTGTTCTTCGGAGATCAGCAGGTGCCCCTTAGGTACAGCTGTGTTCTTCAGAGTTCAGCAGGTGCTGCAGCTGTGTAAAGCAGCAATACACCCCAGCCAATTCTTCTCCACGCTCGATCTTGCCTGCCCACGGATTATGCAACCATCACGGGGTCTGGCCTACTGGGGACCACCTGCGAGCTTTGTTCGTCCAGTAGCGTGTGCGGGCCTTGTATGCTAGTGCAAGGCATGGGTACTCCCCAGATGAACCATGACGACTTCGAAGAGAATGCAGGATTCTATTACTCAGGCCAACCACAGATCTATCCTGAGTTCAGAATCTTTTTCCTAAACTTCTTCCCCCCACTTCTGACCTGCATGGTTTACCAGGGAAGATAGCGTCCGGCCATGCAGACCCATGCGGGCCAAGGAGACCCAGCCGAGCAGCCCTGATACTAATGTAGGCATAAATTTAGTGTAGTACGAAAGGCCCTCATCATACAGGGTCTTATGGTTTGGCCTTACGTTGCACTGTTTGCAACTTCGCTCTCGAGTAATTTCAGGGTGGTGAAGTCTATGCTTGCCGTCATTTGCCACTTGTGCTGTTCCACGAAAAAAATCATTTTTACAATTTATGTCAGTTGGTACACCTATCAACTATTGAAACACAGACCTGAGTCCGAATCCTGATGGAATCAGACGAGTAAAACTAGCTCCAAACCTGGGTTCAGCCATCATCAGATGAGATGATATGTGAAGGCTGTCGCCATCTTAAAAACAAAGAAAAGTAGGACGACATATTCCCTAGCTCTTGCAGGCACGTCTTCCCAAGGCTATTCAGAACTTATCTGAACAGGGATCACTTAAGTGCTTTTTGATACAGACGGGAAGACATAGTTGCCTGCTTAGTATTATTTCTTCTGGGGAGGGCACACTCAATGGGTGCATTGTGCAGGTAATGATGCTGCATGACTCCACTTTCATTTCCAGCTTGTAACTTAGGATGTGGCGTGTCTCCTTAATTCCTCACAGGTTGGATGCAGCTGTGTTGGACTTCCTGTCTAACGTGTGCGGCTTACAGTTGGGATATTGGGTTCGGCTGTCGTTTTTCTTGAGTTGCAGATAGGCTTGCGACACAGACGGATTGATCGACCAGTGCGCGGTGTTTCAAATGTAGTGGCACATAAAATTTGTTTGGGTGAATGTCATGATTGGGAGTGTGTGTGTGTGTGTGTGTGTGGGTGGGTGTGTGTGTGTGTGAGAGAGAGAGAGAGAGAGAGAGAGAGAGAGAGAGAGAGAGAGAGAGAGAGAGAGAGAGAGAGAGAGAGG